CTTAGTTTTGACTCACTATTATATACAGATTTGACTCTGCTTCTCTTGAGAGACTTTTAAAAGACACTTACTTGGCTTGTGTCTTTAGGTTGCTCCCAAAGAATTTTTTTTTTTCTGTATAGTATACAACTTTGTTCCTTTGTTGAATTAAATTTCTTAAGAATTGGAATTTATGAGAGCTACATTCATAGCATAAAAATTGTATCCTGTCTGAAAACAGCCAGCGTAAGATAGTGTGAATATAAATTGTAGGGCATTAGAAAGGAGTCTACAGTGCGACTCAGCACAATGTAGAAGGGTGTCTGAATTAAAACTTCCAAATCCTAAGAGAACTCAGGATTTTACCCTGAGATTGATTCAGATTAATCATTATAAAATTCTAAAAAATGATTTTTAAAAATCATCTAAAGTGGAGACAGTATAGACCATGTAATAAGGAAGAGGTCAAGGGTCAATGAGCAGTAGAGATGCCTTCTTGTTAACACGAGGGGATTCTGGGAAGTTGATCTGAACAGTTACCGGACTGGAATTGCACTTGGATCAAGACAGCTCACTGCTGTTCTTTGTTTTGGAAAAATACTGCTTTCTTTTGATTAATTTGCCTTTTTTGAGATAGGATGTCATTATGTAGCTCTTGCTATCCTGAAACTCTTTCTGTAGACCAGGCTGGCCTCAAACCCACAAGAAATCAACCTGCCTCTGCTTTCCAAGAGCTGGGATTTAAAGGCATGTATCATTATACATGGCTCAAAAAAAAAGTTTTTAATGCGGTTTATCTTTATAAAAATTGCATTTTAATGTTCAGTATTTTCTTTAAAACAACAGAATTTAAACCATGATTCCATATTAAGCAGTTAGCATTTCAAGAACATTAACGGATCTATCTGTTGAAAAGTTTTAGTACAAAGATAAAATAGTTGATAATAATTTGACTGTATTTTTGACAAAATTAGAAGTGTGTACTTCTCTATTCTTTCTTTTCCTCATTCAAAAGAAGTAACAAGTCTCAGTACAAGAAGGAATCTTCTAAATGTAACATACTTCGGAGGACAATTTGCACTTGGAGTACTAGTTAGGAAATCAGTATAAGCATTACTTGACTCTCTAGAACTGTTAGAAGGTGGTGTGAGGCAGGCTACCAGTGATGGATAGGGTAGTGGGTACCAGGATTAGAAATCAGAATGCCTCTTCCCAAGCAAGGTGCAAGGTGAACCAGTTGCTAGGAAAAACAAATGTTGATGTAAACATTTTCTTTGTTCCCTCCCTCCCTCCCTCCCTCCCTCCCTCCCTCCCTCCCTCCCTCCTTTCCTCCCTTTCTCCCTCCCTCCCTCCCTTCTCTTCCTCCTCCTCTTCCTCCTCTTCCTCTTCTTTCTTCCTTTGTTTGTTTCTTTTTTCTTTCTTTCCTTTTTTCTTTTTAGAAGTTTAAAGGAATTTTAAATTAGAAATGATACATTGTATGTTGAATTTTAAATATAGACCATAATTGTTGATGTTATTTTATTGGAAGTTTCTGTCTCTCTTTCCCATTTAGCTCTCAAATAAAAGAGATAGAAACCTAGTATTTTAGTTACAAGCTGCACTGTGCTGAGCAGGTTCTGAGCTATAATTTGCCACCCGAGTCCTGCTCTGTTTTATGTGTGTTCCCAGTGCAAGCTTCCTTTGGACATGTGCTCATGGTCCATCCTGCCTCTTGGTGACCTCCTCCTCCTTCTCTCTTCTTCCTCTTGTGTGTTCTTTCATACCTGAAAACCCTCTACTCCAGTCCTGCCTTCCTCTATCTTCTGCCCAGTCATAGGCCCTAGCCTTTTATTAATCAGAGACTAGGGAATGGGGGGTATTCTTTACAGCACGTAGGTTTATACGGTGCCCCAAGATCAAGTTGCAGTCTGGATGGGCACAGAGCTCAGCTTTTAAATACACAGTACACAAGTGGTTAAGAGAGTGTACTACTTTTCCAGACCCTGAGTTTGGATCCCAGCACCCATGTGGGGTTGCTCACAACCTTTTTTTTTTTTTTTGGGGTTTGGTTTTTCGAGACAGGGTTTCTCTGTGTAGCCCTGGATGTCCTGGAACTCACTCTGTAGACCAGGCTAGCCTCAAACTCTCAAACTCAGAAATCCGCCTGCCTCTGCCTCCCAAGTGCTGGGATTTAAAGGCATGCGCCTCCACCGCCCAGCACTCAGAACCTTTTGTAACTCCAGCTCCAGGGGAGACACATGCACACATGTATGCAACTAATTACAAAATACAAATTTTTAAATTTAAGATAGTTGACAGTTAAAATTTTATACACGATTAAGTGAATTAAATTTATTATTTACTTAAAATTTACACGTCTATGATTGAAAAGCTAAATCGCCAGTTAAGTTATGCCTGACTTCAATTGTATTAAGATTTTTTTTTTTCAGAAAAAAATATAGATTAATATGGAAGGTGACTATATTTTTCATCCTATTGTTTCTGGAGTGATGAAGTATATTTTTATCTATAAGACAGTAAGGCACTTTATACAACATGGTAAAAATGTTTATTTTCTCAACAGGACTGAATATTTTGAGTAAGATCTTATAAACTATTAACTAGCGTGAATATACCCATGTTAGAATTGGCATTGAGCTGTTAATATGGGTTACTTTCTGTGGCCATAGTAATTTATTTTAAAGGACTTAAATGTTTAGTAGTTTTAATTTCACAATAAAATTGAACTTAGTCATTTTCTTACCTTGACCTGTTGTTATGATGCTATTTGTTGAAAGGAACCTGTTTCTGTAGTTAGTCTTGCTTAGTGGATATACAAAGGTCATTTTGTCAATTATTGTTCAAGATATCAACATTTGTACTGAGAACATAACCTGTATAGTTTTTTTAGGGCTTCTCAGATTAACTGACTGAAATGGAACAAACAGGTTTTTCCTTCATACTGATGGAAAGGAAGCATTTCTGAAGTCTTTTTCATGGCATAGAAATAGTGTGTATATTTGTGAACTCTGCTTTTGCTGCTTCAAGGTTGAAAACTTTTACATATTTTATATTTTGGCAGTTCAAAATTTTGAAATTTGGTATCACTAATGTTAATATGCATGCTATGCTGTCTGTACGAATGTATGCATGCATACGTGTGTGTGTGTGTGTGTGTGTGTGTGTGAGAGAGAGAGAGAGAGAGAGAGAGAGAGAGAGAGAGAGAGAAAATTGTTGGCCTCTAGAAGACATTAGCTTCCTTAGATAGTATTTTCATAGTTCTCGGTTTGTTATTTAAAGTGACTGTTATCTTTCTTGTTTGAGGTATCAGTTGCTACTAAACCTAGGCTGGGCTGCTTACAAATTCAAAGGCATGCATATAACGTAGGTGACATAGACATATAGTAGTAAAGCATAGAAACCTTAAAATAGCAAAGAGAATACAAATTTATTATTCCCCATTTTTTCCACTGATAAGATGATCTAGCATTTCAACTTGCACTTTCTGTTATGGGGGAGGACCCAAGACCATAAAATTTGCATTTTTATAAAATTGTGTCATATCAGCATTATGAAAACAGCATTTCGGTATACTTTATATTTTCAGAAAAGTTTTATCAATAGAATTGTGTTTGATGTTGAAGAACAATTTTATGGTATCAGTATTTTAATACATCTTATAGTCTAGAGCCTAGTTGATACTAGTAGTTTTGATATACCCTGTGTTATTTTAGGAGTATATTTGTATAGTTTGGGGGGGATGTAGCTGATATTTTTAAAAAATTGTATTAAGGGAAGTTTCTTGTAGAAAACCTAAACATTCACTGAGTGGAGGTAATCATATATGAAGGAACCCTCTGTCTTCCTCTTTTACCCTCATAGTTTACTATGAATAGTCTTGCTTTATTCAACTTCTGTTACATACCTCTACACCTTTCCCCAGTGATGTAGAAGGAAATCCTAGACATTATATAAGTTTACTGATAATTTCAGTCTCTTCCTTTCCTAGTTATGGGCTCAGATCCAAGACCTCTTACAGGATGGGCAAACACTCTTATTTCTGAGCTATATCCCTAGCTCTTCAATGTGTGTCTCAGAGAGAACAGAAAATTCTTTTTCTTATGAGTACAAATTAGCTTTGTTGTAGAGAAAGTCAAGAGTGCTTGGAAACAGGCTGGTCACTGAAGCTTATTATAGTTAATATACATTTAGAAAGATGGATTTATATTACTTGGATATTCGATTATTATAGCGAATCTCAAAGGATTTAGAATGTTGCTTCTATAAATATATCCGTCATGTGACTTTCCTGCCATGTGTATGTGTGTGCCATGTGTATGTATGAGACATCTGAAAGTTTACATTGTCAATAGTTCCTGTCCCTTCCTCTAGAATTGTTACATACTGAGAGACAAGCAGCATGGAATAGTAACATGCAGTGCTGTGTCAGCCTATGCATGAGTCATTAATCCAAGGGAGGTGAAGGAGAGTAATAGGGAAGTAGGAGAAAGAGCGACAGAACAACAAAGAAGGAATATGGGAAGGAGAGAGATGATAGAGTAAGTGTGGCAGCAGAGGTACACAGTACAGGGACATCATACTTTTTCCTCTCATTCTCCACTGCGTCTTGAATTGTGTATTTCTACCTGTCTTCACATTGACTAAACCTTGCTTTACATTTATGATTTGAAAGATTGTCGATTCCTCTCTTACTGAGCATTTTGTTGCTGTTGTATTATGTTCAGAGGTTGTGAGATAAGATTTAAAAGCTGAACTATTTTAGGACTAATTGTTCTGTATTTGTTTTTGTACAAATATTTAGGGTTTATATAAATTAATTCAAATAGTTGGGTACTGCTTATGGGCTGATTTGAACTGTCTGCACTATGGATGAATTATATATTGTAGAAAACATTAACTTTGTACAGACTTTTGCTTCAGATGCTCTTGTTGGAAAATTGTATAATAACTTTTCTTTGTATGTTTTTCTTACTGCTCCATTCTTACTGGATGAAATCAATCCTATTCAAACTGGACTGCAGTTTACAAGATTCCTTTGCAGCTCACCATTGGAGGTAAGAGATTGCTCTCCAATTTTCATGTTAGCATTGCCAGTAGAGTAACTCTGCATGAGTCTTTTTTCAAGCATTTGATAATTTAGGAGTGATTGTCTTAAAACAGTACATTTTTCAATAATAGTAATGGGATGGACACAGCCTTTTTTTTTTTTTTTTTTGCAACTGTTCACCTTTGTAACTAGTCATTGCTCCTTTAGGTATATTTTCTTTCTTGTTAAGTAGGGAGAAGTCAGCCCTAGACTTTATTTCTGTGAACCCTGTGTTGCTTTGTCCCTGCTTAAGTCACTGTTGTGCCTCAGCAGAACTGAATGGGCACAAGCTATCATCAAGTAGGCTTCACCTGCATAAGAGACTAGAGGAACAGAGGACCTGCCTGGCACTGGGCATTCCTTAGAACACAGGCACTATTCTCCATGCTTCCATAGCGTCTCATTTAGTCTTCATCCTGGTTCTCATTTAGAACTCAGAAAGGGATAAACTGTGAGGTTAAAAAAAAGTAACTGGATTATCAGAGAATCAGAATCATGTGAGCTGTGCTTGCAGAAAAGTGTGTAGATGATTGTGGAGACTTAAGAAAAGCAAAGCGCCGTGAATACAGAGGCTGAGTTTGAGTCTCACCAGGGTTGAAGCTGTTTCTTTACTTACTAGCCACATGACACTAGAAGTTAAAATGTCCCTGAGCCGTCTGTTGAAATGAGGCAACATATTTGTGAAAAGAATTATGTTGTTGAAATCTTGTAATATTTTGTATTTTCCTCTTAAGCTACACTTAGCCCTTCATACTCCAATTTATTTATTTTTGTTTTTGTCTTAGCCTTGCCTCTTTCTTTGCGTCTATTGTTTATTTCACTTTAAGAGCCTCCTTTCTCAGTTCCCAGCTTTTTAAATCATACTCCCTTTTTAGGGTTGAGCTGTAGCTTTATATTTTTCTTTTATTTCTTTTTCTTTTCTTTTTTTGTTTTTTTGGTTTTTTGAGACAGGGTTTTTCTGTATAACCATGGCTGACCTGGAACACTCTGTAGTCCAGGCTGGTCTCAAACTCAAAAATCTACCTGCCTCTGCCTCCCAAGTGCTGGGATTAAAGGCATGTGCCACCACTGCCCGGTGCCTTATATTTTTCTTATTATTTTATTTTTAAAAATAATATTTAATTTTAAAATAAATAAATAATAAATAAAAATAAAATAATATTGAAAATAAAATTTATCTTATTTATATGAGTACACTGTAGTTGACTTCAGATGCACCAGAAGAGGGCATCAGATCCCATTACAGATGGTTATGAGCCACCATGTGGTTGCTGGGAATTGAACTCAGGACCTCTGGAAGAGGAGTCAGTGCTCTTAACCACTGAGCCATCTCTCCAGCCCCTAGCCTTATATTTCTTCTGAGACCATCTCTGGTCACTTTACACATAGAGAGTTCCTTTTTCTGTTCTATGATGTTGTATTCATTTGATAAGTGAAGCTATTCTTCTCAATAATGAGTGATGACCTATGGCAAGTTTGAATCATCACCATGGGAAATGGACCAGACCAGAGAAGTTGGTACCAACAGGTTTAGTCACATTTTCTAATCCTTCAGCCTTAAGATGAAGGCAAAGAATAACAGTGAAAGGGTGCTGGGCTGTGAGTTGAGGGGGATGTGGGTGGGCTGTGAGTTGAGGGGGATGTGGGTGGCCTGTGGAAAGTTAATTCTTCTGGGCTGCTACTTTTCAATCTGAAAATGGGAGTAACACAAGGTTGTTATAATTTAATGAAGTGATTTGTGGTCAACACTGAGCATAGTACAGGAAACAGAATTTTAAATAGTAAGGTAGAAATAAATCATAAGATTCTTGGAGACAGTATACATTCTGTTATCTGCTGAAGTTGAGGAAATGCTTTCTGACCATAGAAGTAAGAAGTATCAGACAGAAAAGGCTAGAAAATTTTGTTTGGCTGTAAAGAGACTTAATTTTATACATGAAAATAAATGTAGCTAAAGGTAATTCAGAGCTTAGAGAGATGGCTCACTTGCTGCTCTTATAGAGGACCTGGGTTTGTTTCTTAGCATTTGCTTAGTGGCTCACAACTATCTATAACTCCAGTTTCAGGTAATCCAAGACCCTCTTCTGTCTTCTTTGGGCAACAAGTGTGCATAATGTACTTATACATACATGTACACAAAATACTCTTACACATACAAATGAATAAATTGTTGAAAACCAAGGCAGTGTAGGAAAACGAAAAGGATTATTTAATATTTTAGAATCAATAAAAATCTCTGCTATCTTGTATAAAGTTATATTAAATACAATAAATAGTTGAAAACTAAGTGCAAATGATAAATGATAATGTGATTGTGTATTAGTAATATGAGAAATGCAGCCTAAAATAGTGAAGTTAGGCAGTGTCGCTTCCACGTGTAGGATTTTATAAGGAGGCTAAAGTTGAAGCTTAATGCTGTGAGACTCTATACAGTTCCTCATGTTATGTGACCCCAACCATAAAATATTTAATTGCTACTTCATAACTGTAATTTTACTACTGTTATGAATCAAATGTAAATATCTGATATTCAGGATATTTGATGATAGTGTGATCCCTGTGAAAGGATCATTTGACCCCCCAGAGGTGTCACAACCCCCAGGTTAGGAATTGCTGATTTAGATGATGTTGACCATTTGTAAAAATGCTTTTAAATGGGTCTCACCAATAAATTTCTCTTAAATGTAAGTTAAGTGGGAAGAGGACCTTGTTTCTCCATGATAACATTTTTAATTAAATGTAGTAAGTTGTACATAGTAGACAGTGCTTTAGTAAATACTTGTTTGGATGGGTTAACGGATGGACGGATGGATGGGTTGGTGGATGGATGGAGAGATGACTGAATGAAGTTGGTGTACTGAATGAGGCTAGTTGAAGCAGACTTTTATTCATAATTTGACAGTATTCATCTGACAGCAAATGAAGTTTACTGTTTGTATTTTAATATACTTAGCTCTCTTGTCTTCTCAGCTTGAATGAGCCTACTTGAGATTAGAAGCTCTGTCTTTTTATCTTTGGATGTTATTAGTTGTAGAAAGGGCTTAGAGTTTACCAACTACCCTACAGTGGACCAACCAGTAAAGATTTTAAAATATCTGGTCACTACTCTGGCTAAATACTGGGCTGAGTGTATGGAATCTGTAGTTTTGGGTAAAAAGTGTAAAGGATCATGATCAAAATGGAGTGATAGCTTGTTATTTTCTGTTAGTTTTCTTTTCTTGGTGATTTGAAGATGTGTTGCATCTTGGCAAAGTTGATTTTCAAGACAAATTTTTATTAGGCTTATGGGTATACAGGAGGAAGATGAAATAATTTAAGATCCTCACCCTCCCTGGATTCTCTAGTAAATACCCTGAGGCTTCTGTTCTAATGACTATTAGCTTGGAATTCCACAGATGCTGCCATCTGAATGGCAGCCATCCCCAAATCTCCGTCAGTAGCTTTGAGCTCAGTCAGGATTTGGTTCCATTTCACTACACTGTCTTAGAGGCAAACCTAAGCAAGGCAGGAGAAGGCTGGAAGCCTCTACATGTTTAATTTTACTGTTAAGCTTATGTATTAGCCAGAGATAGGTACTTTCCTAATTTTAGAAAATAAGAATAATTCCAGTAGAGACAGTAAAATGTGGGAGACTTTCAGTTCGCATAGCCAACTTTTTTTTTTTTTTTAAACTTTATTTATTTATTTATTATAAGTACACTGTAGCTGTCTTCAGACACCCCACAAGAGGGCATCAGATCTCATTGCAGATGGTTGTGAGCCACCATGTGGTTGCTGGGATTTGAACTCATGACCTCTGGAAGAGCAGTCAGTGCTCTTAACCACTGAGCCATCTCACCAGCCCCTCGCATAGCCAACTTTAAGCTTCACTTTGTCCATAAGAAGCCATGGGCCAGGCCCCTTTGTTGTTAAGTCCTAGCCACTTAACTGACACATGAATCTAATGAAATTGTCAGATCATAGTAATTATGTCAGTAATCTGATATATTGTCACTTGACTGGACCATGTGTGGAGAGTCAGTTACTTCTCTCTGTGGGATTTATGCATTTCATTCATGACGACTAATAACACTCATTAAGCTTTATGGGAAAAGAGCTTTTATCACATTGTCAAGCCAGCCAGTGCATTTCTATTATATTTCCAATTGTGTGTGATTGTGTGTAGCTGCTGATGTACACTTCCCTGCTAGGTTTAGGAGACTCGCCTTATGGACATTTCTTAGTCTGAGTTACATTTTGTGTGGCACCACTTACAGATGTCTTCAATTAAATGCAGGTAAGTAAATGGGATTAGGTATCAGAGGTCACGAGATTACTGACATTCTCTGTAGAGTCAGACTTTGCCAGTCAGTCCAGTAGGCTGTGGTTTCCTCGTCATGTTTGGAGAACAGAGGGAGCTGCAGCATAAGTAAACACACATTAGATCATGTGTCAGTATGGGGACTTGGGCATCTCTTCAAGTGTATCCTGATCCTTCATTTCAGATTCAAGTACTCTCTGTTAAGAGTTATAATACTTACTTACTGAGAAGCTAGTATCACAAGACTTTGCTTATCACATTCCTTAATTCGTACAGAATATCTACCTTTCATGATGAAAATTGACCACAGACTGGTAGATCAGACTAGCTAGGGGCTGAGAACCCCAGGTAACAGCATGGGTCAGGAAAAGCAAGGTGGGAGGGAGACAGAATGGCACTATTGTGAGATGTTCACATTCAAGATTCTTACTTGAAGGAAGCTAGTAATCAGAGTAGGATTTATGAACCTTACCACTGTATTTTGTTGTGAGGTGCACTACATTTTGTTGTGAGGTGCTGTGTGGCTCTGATCACTGTTGGAAGCTTAGCTGCACTTCTAGCTGCTGCCCACTAGATGCCAGTAGCACTCCGTTCACCAATATGATAAGAGCTGTAGATAATGACAGACTGCCAGAAGTCCCGAAGAGGCGAAATTGTTCCCTCGTGAA